GGTGGGACGACGACCTGAACACTTTCTTCGCAAGCGACGTCCCAACCTGCACCCGCCACCTGCAACGACCTGTGGAAAAGGACGACCCATCGACTTAAGTTGGTTAGTAACGGCTCCAGACCCGCTCGCCTGGTCAGAACTCGAGGACGACTAGCAATCCGACGGCAGACAACACGCGGTGCCATTCACACAAAGCACACTCCAGGAAACGGCGGCTCTCTGACAACCGGGTCGTCGGCGGCCACATCTAGGACAGGACTCTGTCCTCCTTTCTTCTTCTTACTTCCCGAAGCTCTATATGCATGTATATAAACATCTGCATATATACATATATATATACATATATACATGGTTCGCGCGGCACGGCGTACATATGATTCCTGAGGCCACGGCCTCCTCCACTTGGTCTTAGATAGGCCAGGCCAGCTGTCCGCACTGGTGGTCGTTAGCTCGCTTGCTCGCTTGCCTGGCGCCCCGCACGGGCAACGATAGGATGAAGAAGGCTCGGAGGGGGGACGCATCGACCCCCACTTGCCCCCTGGCTGGGCCTTTCCTGGACCCGCGAGCTGTATGCACGCCTTCCTGGTCAAGCCAGCAGTAGATACGTATAGATCTCGTCGCCCAGCATTGAACGCTGGCCGCCCGAGCTGCCGGGTCGGCCCCCGCCCCCGCCCCAGCTCCTGCCGCCGCTGCCGTTGCCGCAGCCCCAGCCGAGGCGATCTCCCTCCGAGGGCGCCGGTGCCACCTATGCGGTAGCAGATCATGGGAGCTGCGTGCGTCTTCGAAACTTAGTCTTTAGAGCGGCATTCGATAAGAAAGACTAGCGTCGGTTAGCGTCGACTCGCAGGAACCAACAAGATGACATTGAAGGCCCCCATGAGTTGCCATAGAAACACCTGCGCCCCGCTGTGGGCCACCGCGTCGGCCCTACGCACGAGGCACCTTGCCGCCTACCTCTGGCCCTGCACGGCCTGCGCTCCACGAGCTGGCTGCTTTGGCACTTGCGTGATCTCTGCGGCCTCTTCAGCTCGATGTGGCAGCCCTTCTTCGCTTCGTCGACGACGTCCTCATCCTGGGCCTCAGGCACGGCCTGGCGCAGCAGGGCGAGGACCTCTCGCCGCCTGGCCCCCCCCCGCTGCGCTCAACGGTGCCTCCTTGGGCACCGCCGCCGCCGCTGGGGGCCCGCCTGCGCGGCCCGCCTGTGCGGAGCGGCGCCCGAGGACCGTGACGGCCAGGTCCGCCAGTCGCCGCCAGTCGGTTGGGATGCTGCAGACCGCGCAGCTGCAGCCGCCGCGCCAGCGCCCCGCCGTGAGGCAGGGCTCCGGCCCGCTGCGAAGTCCGCGCGGGCAGGGGCGCCCGGGCTCGCAGTGGTCGGGAGGAGGCAGCGGCATGGTTGCACCTGCGGGTAGGTTCGTGTCGTGTCGACCCGTCGGCGACCCCGCCGCGGGCGTGCAAGGTTGGAAGCCGCCAGCGGCCCAGAACCGACCGATATGGAACGGTCTGGCACCCAGAGAGCCGCCGATCGTTCCAGGCTGAATGACCCACGCCGTGTCAGAAACCAAGTTGCAGGTCGTTGCGACACGAACCCGCCGTATCCCCATCCCCGCTGGGCCATGGGCCATGGTACCTCAGCTCCAGCAGCCAACCCTCTTAGGTGAGTATGGGCCGCGCGAAACCCGAGGAAAAAGCATTTATCCCCACTCAGGTGGATAAGTCGGCCAGTGTCCAACAGGGACAACTCGAATGATACTCGAGGGCGATGAGGAGTGAAAGGAGGAAGAGAAGGACGAGAGGGTTGAGCAGTTGGAGGAGGATGTTTGGGAGGGGGGAGATGATGAATATGGGAGTAAAAGGAGTTGGCGGGCTAGGAATAGGATGAGAAGGCAGCGGAGCTGCAGGAGGAGGAAGAGCAGGAGGAATAGAAATGAGTTAACAGGGTTTGAGGAGGAGGAGGAGGAGGGATGGGTGGGAGGGCAGCGAAGAGGAGGGTCAGCAAGAGGTGGAGGATAGGAAGTAACGGCAGCAGTACGGAGGGGGAGATTCCTCCGCATCTTCCCTTTCGTTTTCCTCCCCTGCCCCCTCTCCTCCCTCCCCCCGTCTACCCCCTGGCCCTCCCCCCCCACACGCACACACACACACACACACACACACACACACACACACACACACACACACACACACACACACAACACGCACACACGCACACACCACACAACACACCACACACAACACACACCTACACACAGAGAGACACACACACACCACGGCCCCTCCTGTTCGTCTCCATCCCTTTCCCCTTCCCACCTCTTCTCTTCCCCTTTCTCTTCTCCCCCCTGTTCCCTCCTGCACTGTTCTCGTTTTGATGTTGGATCACTTTCGGGGATCACCCGTGCAAGTTGGAAGGATACAGAGAAATTTAGCATGGCCTTTGCTCAAGGATGACAGGCGCACAACGAGAAGTCCCCCTGGGTATTCGCGGGTTCGCGGGTGCTCGTCACACTCCAGTGCAAATTCGGAGCCGCATCTTGACGGAGTTCTGTGTGGGAGGTGGCTCAGATTACTCTCCTTCGTGATCATTGTCACCCACCGCCCACCCACCCTCTGGGCGGTCGGATCCATCCCAACAGCAAGCCCCACAGCCCTCAACATTCAAGCTTCTCCATCCCAATAGCAGCTCTCCAGGTCGGCTCATGAGGGCTCCAGCACCCCCGCGCTGCCCTCTTGGGGCTGGTCCGGTTGGACCGACATTCCGCGCCTGTCAGCTACGCGTTGGGCATAGGATTGACCCTTCGCCAGCGTGATTCTTGACACGGGCTCACGAGTGTCCCCCAGCGCTTCGGCGCAGGCAAGATGGGTGGGTCGCCCAGGGGCGGCCATGACACGCATTCCTTCGGGAGCCTCGTCGAAGACATGAGCGACAGGGGCCCCATCGACATGCAGTGCTGCCCCCTGGGCTCTCCGCCCCTGGTGCAGACGCCGAGCGCTGGTACGTGCGCTCAGACCTGGCCCCCCCCGCGGACCCCAAACATCGCGCACAGAACGCCACTCGTTGCCCCCCGGGCCACTTCTCTGCCATACACCCTGGACCCCTCTTTGGAGGCCAGCTTCTCATCACAAACAGCGAGGATACCCGTGTTGCGTGGAGTTCGAGCCTTCCCCGCCGCCCCCTCGGGGATGGGCGTGGGCGCGGGCGGAGGTGGGTCGGAGGAGCAGGGGGCGTGGAGGTGGAGTTAGGGGGAGTGGGAGGAGGAGGAGGAGGAGGAGGAGGAGGCGGAGGAGGGGTAGGAGGAGGGGGAGGAGGAGAGGAGGAGGAGGAGGACGAGGAGGAGGACGAGGAGGAGAAGAGAGGAGAGACGAGAAAGGAGAGAGGAGAGAGGAGAGAGGAGAGAGAGAGAGAGGATGAGAGAGAGAGAAGAGAGGGAGGAGAGGAGGAGAGGAGAGGAGGAGGAGGAGGAGGTAGGAGGAGGAGGAGGAGGAGGAGGAGCGGCGGCGGCGGCGGCGGCGGCGGCGGAGGAGGCGGAGGCGGAGGCGAAGACGGAGGCGGAGGCGGAGGCGGAGGCGGAGGCGGAGGCGGAGGCGGAGGCGGAGGAGGAGGAGGAGGACGAGGAGGAGGAGAGAGGAGAGAGGAGAGAGGAGAGAGGAGAGAGGAGAGAGGAGAGAGGAAAGGAGGAGGAGGAGGAGGAGGAGGAGCCCCGCCGCTGATGTTTACCCAACGTCACATCTATCCTGGCGAAGGACCCGACCATATGCAGTTGTGGGCCCCGCAATTGTGAATCTCTTCCTCTGTGAAACTCCCTACGGAGCCACGAAGCGCTGCACTGGGTGGGGGGGGGGCGCATGCGGGCGGAGCTCCCGATGGGGCCACGAAACGTGCGACGAGTTTGCCAGGATGGGCGTCGGGCGCATGCGGACTCTGCCACTGGGGCCCTCGGTGGAGCTCCCTATTGGGCCACGAACCGTGTGAGGGGTGTGCCGAAATGGGCGTCGGGCGCATGCGGACCCTGCCGCTGGGGCCCTCGGTGGAGCTCCTTATGGGGCCACGAACCGTGTGAGGGGTGTGCCGACATGGGCGTCGGGCGCATGCTGGCCCTTCCGCTGGTGCCCTCGGCGGAGCTCCCCATGGGGCCACGAACCGTGTGAGGGGTGTGCCAACATGGGCGTCGGGCGCATGCGGACCCTGTCGCTGGGGCCCTCGGTGGAGCTCCCTATGGGGCCACGAACCGTGTGAGGGGTGTGCCGACATGGGCGTCAGGCGCATGCGGACCCTGCCGCTGGGGCCCTCGGTGGAGCTCCCTATGGGGCCACGAACCGTGTGAGGGGTGTGCCGAAATGGGCGTCGGGCGCATGCGGACCCTGCCGCTGAGGCCCTCGGTGGAGCTCCCTATGGGGCCACGAACCGTGTGAGGGGTGCTCCGAAATGGGCGTCGGGCGCATGGAGCTCCCTATGGGGCCACGAACCGTGTGAGGGGTGTGGTAAGGATGATGACGACGATGATGATGATGATGATGATGATGATGATGATGATGCTGATGATGATGATGATGATGATGCTGATGATGATGATGATGATGATGATGATGATGATGATGATGCTGATGATGATGATGCTGATGCTGATGCTGATGCTGAGGCTGAGGCTGAGGCTGAGGCTGAGGCTGAGGCTGATGCTGCTGCTGCTGCTGATGATGGTGATGGTGATGGTGATGATGATGATGATGATGATGATGATGATGATGATGATGATGATGATGATGATGATGATGCTGATGATGATGATGATGATGATGATGATGATGATGATGATGATGATGATGATGATGATGATGATGATGATGACGATGAGAGGAGGGAGGGGGAGTGGAAGGGAGGAGGGGGAGGGGGCAGCGGGAGTGACGAACGCGGGGCGCTGCCTCTTCAAAACGAGGGCCCAACAACACAGGTCGGTTGTGGAAAAATGAGTAGTGCCCCCCCTGGTCCATACCTGATGGCGGCGGGCCAGGCCCCATGCCGGGAGTCCAGCAGCCGGTCATGTGCGGGTCCTCCGCCACACGGGGGCCCTTGGCGGCAGGCGCGGCCGCCGTCGTCGTCGTGGCTTGAGGCTCGAGTTTGTTGCGCGTTGTCAGTCCTCTGCATGGGGGCTCTGGAGGCGTGGTCGTGACGGTCGTCGCCGTCGTAGTCGTGGCCGTGGGGGTCGTTGTGGTGACGGTCGTCGCGGTGGCGGTGGTGGTGGTCGCCGTCGTCGGTGGTGTCATCGTTGTCGGAGGAGGGGCACGAGAAGCAGTGGTTTGTTTGGAGATGGTCTAGAGAGGGTTGTCCAGGGTCAGCGATAGCGGGGAACCGGGGGACTGGCTCGGGGGGGAAGCATCGAGCTTGAATCGGCGATGCATCTTCCTTAGATCGGTGATGGGCCCTCTGAAGTGACCCCATCCCTCCCTGAGCACATTTCCCCCAGAGCAGGGGCCTCCGAGCCCACACGGGGGAGCCTGGCCGGCAGGGCACTGGAGGCCGTGAGGCCGGCGGCGCTCGACAGAAGCGCACAATATTCCTCCCCTCCTCCTCCCTCTGCCTGCTCTCCTCTTCCTCCTCCCTCTGCCTGCTCTCCTCTTCCTCCTCCCTCTTCCTCCTCCCTCCTCCCTCCTCCCTCTTCCTCCTCTTCCTCCTCCCTCCTCCCGGGGCGCGGGGTGACACTTGGCCAGTCCAGGCCGGCAGGCCCGTGGCCGTCCCAGCCGCGTGGCCGATGGCTCGTAAAGTGGCGCTTGCCCTGGGCTCGGCCTCCGAGGGTGGAAGCCGGCGTGTCGCCCTATCTGGGGGATGCCAGCCCTTCGATTTTTCGAGGGCTGATTGCGCACTCTTCTGCCCACGCGTCCTGCTGGATGCTCGGCTCAGTGGTGGATTTGACCACGCTCGCAATTCACGGTTTTACGCGGTGCGATTCCCCTCCCCTCCGTCCTCCTCTTCCTCCTCCCTCCTCCCTGGCGTCGTGTCGCTTTGGCAGTGTCGGCCGGCTGGACGGCGAGTCCGCTCGAGCCCCCACGGAGCCGCTCGGTGCGAGCGCGCAGTCCCCCTTTCCTCCTCTCGTCCCTCCCTCTCCCCCCTTCTCCTCCCTAGTTGGCAGCTCGTGCCTCTGCCTGCGTGGGCTTGGCGCGCTGATGGTTGGCAGCCGCTGCCGGCCGACCCTTAGCTGCATTGTCAGCTGTGGCTCGCCCTCCAGCCGCTGCTGAGCAGCGCGCGCCGACCTTGGCATGTGGCGCCCGCCTATCTCATGATGTCTATGTGGGCGAGTGCTTGCGCACAACATTTCGCTATCTGTCCGTCGCCCTCTTCTCTTGCTCTTTAGTGTGCTTCTCCCCCTCTCGCCCTCCCACTGCCTGCGTTGGGCACCAGTGCGAGTCCCGCTGGCTGGAGCCAGCTAAGTACGCACGCGCGAGTTTCCCGCGTCGGACTCAAGAATTTCGGCCGCGCCCGAAGGACAGGCTGCTCGCATATCGCTGGTCTGCCTGCATTGCCTGGCATTGCCCTGCATGCGGTCAGCGTCTTAGTCGTTCTCCTCCTCCTCCTCGTTTTCCTCCTCCTCCTCCCGGAACGCGGTGGCATGTGCCCGGCCAGCCATTTCCGAGCCGCTATAGTGCTACAGAGCGGTTCGAGCCCATGTTCGCGCGTTTTGCTTGGGGGCGGCTGCGGTTCGTTGATGGGTGAGGCTATAGCCCGTATGAGGGGAAGCGGATTCGACAGAAGTTGTTGGGCGCTTGCGCGTGGGAAAAAAAACCAACAAAAAAAACGCTCACCCTGAGTTGTTCAGAGGGGGTTGTTCGATGGGGCGGGGCGCCCGCATCCCCGCGGAGTTGCTGGTGGGGTTGTCCAGCACGGGTTGCTGTAGCGAGAGTGTTCGTGCGTCTTGCGCGCAGGATTTCGCAGGTCGCGGGCGCTCGGAAAAATAGCTTGTCTTCGCATATCCCCAACGGACCATCAACGAACGACGCCCAGGGGAGTTGCTCTCATCGGGAAAGCGTGCCATCATCGGGATACCTCGGGGAGCCACGACGACGACGACGACGTCGACGACGACGTCGACAACGACGGCGACGACGACGACGACGACGACGACGCCGACGACGACGACGACGACGACGGCGGCGTCGGCGGCGGCGGCGGCGGCAGGGCGGCGTCGACGACCACGACGACGACGACGACGACGACGACGACGACGACGACGACGACGACGACGACGACGGCGAGCACGGGGGCGGCGGCGGCGACGCGCCCGAGGCTGCAGGGCCAAAGGGCTGCGGGGGCGTGCGGGGCAGCCGCAGGCACCGCGCGCCCGCGCGCCCACGCGCCCACGCGCCTGCGCCTGCGTGCGGGGTACGGCTTCGGCAGCAGCTCGTGGAAGCGTCGTGTGCCCGCTGCTGCGTCTTCTGCCGCCGCTCCAGTCGGCCGCCCGATCTGCCGGGCTGGCCCCCGCCCCAGTTCCTGCTTCCGCTTCCGTTGCCGCAGCCCCCGCCGAAGCGCTCTCCCTCCCAGGGCAGCGGTACCACCTGCTTATCCGCGAAATTTCGTTTTTGGGGGGTGCGCTGGTGTCTGGCAATCGATGGGAGGGCGCCGATTTGGTGTCGATCAGCGTCGGCCAGCGTCGATTCGCAAGAGCTAGCGAGATGGCATCGGAGGCCCCCACGGGCTGCCGCAGAGAGACGGCGCCTGTCCTCCTGTTCTACCCTCGCAGGTGTTTTTTCGCCTCCACTCGGCGATCGCTGCGTGGTAGCCCACCCCAGACCAAACTTTTAGGTCGGCTTCCAGGAACCTTGAGACGGGGGGCAATTCTGACGGGGTTGGGACGATGATCGATCCGTTCCAGATCATTCCGGAACGCTCTGAGAAGGCCGCGGCGCCCGAGAAATCTTGCCGAGCCGCCAGATCGTAGAGATTCTCGAATCATTCTCACCCGAATTGATCCTCGTCTTGGCCTAGTCTTATCAATGCATAAGGGGGTCAGCCAGAGCGCCGGATCTTGTAGGATCCTGCAGAGCTAGGGGTGCAATGACCTGGGTTTAGGGGCGGAATCCTGCAGGATCTCGCAGGATCTTGCAGAGCTTGACTGATCTGGGCTGGCAAAGACGCGGGTCAGTGCGTCCCCGAGGTGTTGGAGGTCGCCGCGGCGATCGCGGCGGCCACGAAGGGGGCCACGGCTTTTGTCATGGAGTGGCACGCCCTTTCCACCCCCTCACCCCCCCGCTCTGCGATGCAGACGTGGCTCATTCTCAATGTGGCGACAGAGAGGTGTCACTGTTTTTGTTGGCCACAGGTCGGTTATCACGCAACCAGCCGAGCTCCGCCCCAAGGACTGTCAGAGGTTGACAGAACCCCCGCCCTGCCATGCCGATCCGCGAATTGCCTTGTTCTCGAGGACGTGTCGCGGCCAGGGATTTTGCGGACCTGCGCCCGCCCGGTCTGGTCCTGGGTCATTTTCGCTAACGGTTGTTCTGTTGAATGGGGTTCTCTCCATCCCCGAGTTTTGACAAGAGTGGAAGCTGCAGGAGACATCCCCGGGGGTCTATTCGGACAACCCTTCTCAGGGATGGGCGCCATGCGTCGAATATATATATATATATATATATATATAATATATATATATATATGTATATATATATATATATTCTTGAACCCCCCGATTCCCAAGCAGTGCTTGCGCTTAGGGTTTCGTTTACTTATCTCTCTCGAGCTGAGTGTTTGGTTTTCGCGATGTTCACCACGCTGCCGTCCGCGCTCCGCGCTTGGAAGGCATGCCGAGGCTGCGCCGCGCTGCGGCGCCCCGTGCGCGGGGGGAGTGTTCCGAGGTTGCGCCACGCTGCCGTGTACAGTCGGGGCGCTGAAGAGGGAACCCTTTTCGTTGGGGAGGGGCTCGGTGTTCCGTGATTGTGTCAGAGTTTGCTTCGGGTTTTTTTCGGAGGTGTTCTATGGGAATATCGAGGTTGAGCTTATGGGAAAAAGGGGCCTCGTTCCTTATTTTTGGGTTCCGTAGGTCAACGCCTCGACTGTATCCGTGAGCGTCTGGGCGCGAGAGCAGGTCCGGGTGGACGACCAGTACGACGACGGCAGTGGCTACGACGAGGGACAGCGACAACGATTCACAGACGGACAGGCGGTGAACAGGCCCCTTTTCCGTCCTCGTCATCTTATGACTCGTCCTTCTCCATCCCTTCTCCTCCCTAATTATCTCCATTCTCCCTCTTCCTGACTCCTCTTCCTACCTCCCCCGTCCTGGCGGCCGTCCTTCCCCCTACATCGAATTGATCATGAGGCTCTGAATGGACAGGAGTCGGAGGTGCAAAACCGAGCGTCTCTCTTGATACACCCCCACGATCTGGCCGACAGTGGTGCTGAAGTCAGCACCTCGCTCGAGGCATCCTCGAAATCTATGTTGAAAGCACCGACGTCCAAGCGACGAAACAGGCGAACTGCCTGAGACGTCCCCACCATTTGCGCGCGAACGGGCAAATGTCCGACCCCTGGAGCTGAAACCAGCGCCTCGCTCAAGACATTCCCCCAATCAGTTGCGAAAGCACTTCGGTCGGCGAACCACTTGAGATATCCCAACGATCTGGGCGCGAACGGGCAAATGTCCCCACCCCTGGCGGCTCCTCCGAGGTGTGTTCGAATGCCACGCCTGCTTCATCGCCATGGGCATGGGGCTCTGAAGAGAGAGAAGTCTGATCAGCCAGTCAGTCAAACCGCTAGAGACAGCCCACCTTCTAAGCGCGAGCGGGCAAACGTCCCAACCCTAGGTGGTTCCTCATGAAGGTGCTCGAACGCCACTCCTGTTACATCTCGGTGAGCATGGGGTTCTGAAAGGAAGAACGTAATATCAACGAAGCAGGTCAGCCGCTCGAGACATCCCCGCAATCTGGGCGCGAACGTGCAACTGACACCAGCCCCGGCGGATCCTCCTTGGGGTGTTTGAGTGCCACGCTTGCCACATCGTGATGGGCTTTGGGCTTTGCAGATAGAAATGTCTGATCAACCACAAAGACAAGCCGCTTGAGACACCCCCACCCTCGGCGCAAGCGGGCACATGCCCCTACACCGGGCGACTCCTCTTTGGGGTGTTGAAGCGCCACGCCTGGGGCATTGCGATGTGCATTGGGCTCTGGAAAGAGAGAAGTTCGATCAATCATTCAGGCAAGCCGCCTTACACATCCCCACAATCTGTGCGCGATCGGGCAAATGTACCACCCCTGGCGGCTCCTCCCAGGTGTGCTCAAATGCCAAGCCTGCTACATCGCGATGAGCATGGGACTCCGGAAAGAGAAACATCCGATCAACCAAACAGGCAAACCGCTAGAGACAACCCAAATCCGGGCGCGAACAGGCACATGTCTCTCTCTACTTTTTGTGGGTCCTTTCTTGGGGTGTTCCAATGCCACGCCTGCTAGAGTGCCATTGACTGTGGGTGTATATATATATATATATATATATATATATGAGCGCTTGTGAGTCTGAGTATGAGTGATCTGAATTTTGATCAACCTGAGTGCTGCGAACGTATATGAATTCGAGCGTGTCGTAGCGTGAGTGGACTGCGTGAGACGAGAAGGCGAAGGAGGCGGGCGTGGGTCAGGGGGCGGAGGTGCCCCAGTCATAACAGGAGCACGTGCTCCGGATATGGGGCGAGCAGACATGACAGTGCGGGGCCCCCAGCGAATGGAACACAGTCGGCCCGGATTAGTAGATCGACCCTGCCAAATCAAGGGCACCCTTGTGTCCTGTGTCTCGCGACCCATGCCTCCTGCATTCCTGTGGCGACGTGGCCCTCGGAAGGGTCTGTTTGTCCTCTCGCGCGCCCCGTCCAATGAAGTCCGACTGTAGGACGTCGGACGGGCAGTACCATGGCTCGGGCAGTCGGGAAGTACCATGACTCGGGCAGTCGGGCAGTACCATGACGTCGGACGGGCAGTACCATGACTCGTACCTCCTGTCCTGTCCAAGGAAGGACCATGACTCGGGCAGTCGGGTCGGGTCGGGCCGGGCGGAGCCCGACGCGAGGGCCCGGGCGGGCGGGCCACGACGGGCGCGTCGGGCGCCCGGGCGGCGGCGAGGGCCGATCGGGCCAGGTGCCGAGGACGCGGAGAATGTCGGGTCGCCAGACATTCACGGGACGTGAACACGGCCACCGCCACTGCTTCTCTTGCGTTGCCGCCTTCCCGCCAGCAGGAACAGAGCAGTGGTGTTGTGGTCATTGTCGTCAGGCTTCGCACCAGGGAAGGGACCACAGCCGCTGCCTCGTTTCCGGCCGGCGGGAAGGCGGCGCGGACAAGAGAAGCCGTGGCTGTGGTAATTTTTTCCCGTCCCGCACGGATGCGCGGGCCACGGGCGGCGGGGCCTCCGCACATGGTGTCCTCGGGGTTGGAGGCGGCCGCGGCGGTTGTCCGGGAGGGGGGGGGCGGTGGGCGTCGGCCCCGAGGGGCGGGAGCGGCGACAGAGGGGGGAAGGGCGAGGCAAGGAGGGGAGAGAGGGAGGCAGCGCGGCAGGAGGCGAAGGGGGCGGGGAGGGCACGAGCGGGGGAGGCGCGGGGAGCGGGGGGGAGGAGCTGCAGTGCGGGAGGAAGAGGAGGATCTTGGAGAAGCAGGAGGAGGAGGAGGCGGAGGAGGAGGGGGAGGGGGAGGAGGAGGAGGTCTACGACGACGAGGTCCAGGAGCAGGAGCAGGACGAGGAGGGGCGAGGAGAAACGCGGCATGGCGAGCAGGGTTGAGGGAGGAGGAGGAGGAGCAGGAGGAGGAGGATCGGGAGGAGCAGGAGGTTGAGGAGGATGAGGAGGAGCAGCAGCAGCAGCAGCAGAGCAGCATCACGAAAAGAAAGGGGGACGAGGTAAGGAGGCATGGAGACGCCGAGAAGGTCGAGGAGGAGGAAGGAGAAACCGGACAACAAAAAATCGCAGAGGGGGGATGTTGCAGTAGGGCGGGGGGTCCGACCTTTCCCCCCCTCTTGATCCAGGTTCGGCGGGTGGGCTGGTTTCGTGGTGGCCCCTGGGGGCTTTGTTCGGGCGCGAGAGGGGGGTCGGCTTCGGGGACCCCCATCACATACATACATATATATATAGAGAGAGAGAGAGACATATCTAGATACACACATACGTACAAACCTACATACATACATATGTATATATATATATATATATATATATTTACATTTACATAGACAGATATATACAGATAATCACATCAAGACTTCAGGCAAGAGGTAGTGGACCGCGCCCTCTCGGACCTCCCGAAACCTTCCCCAAAGCCGCTTTTTTGTCCCGGGTCTATTTGTGGGCAGCCTCGAGGCCCGAACACACAGCTGCCGACCGCCTCGGGTTCTGCGAGGCGCCTTCTGCGTTTTGACAGCTCGCACGTCCCTAGCGAGGTTCGCTGCGTTTGCCTCCGGCACTCGCGCACAACCGCTGCAAGTGCGGAGCGCAGCCTTCCCTCCCTCCGCGCCCCCCCTCCCGCCGCACCTGTTTTCGTGCCTCAGCTCGCCTCGGAAGCGCCCCTCCGTCGCTCGAACGCTGCGTCAGTCCAGTGGCCGCAGACCGAACATGTCCCTGGAGAGGTCGGGGTCGGGTCGGTGGAGGAAATCCTGCACCACCCGTGCGACCGGGGTGCTGGCGCAATTTTCAAGTAAGTGCAGGCCGATTCTAGGCTGGCATCGCCCGCGGGTCGCAGGATTTCAGCCAGTCGACGGATCGGCACATCGCGGCGTGGCCCGCCAACATCTAGTAGGGAGCGCGGGGGATGTTCACAAAAGTCAGCAAAAAAGGTGCAGGGCTTTGTGCATCCGCCGTCTCTGGAGCCCCCGGTTGTCAGCGGGAGGCCCCCGCAGGGCTCGGGAGGTCCCCCGAGAGTCCTTCCGAAGGCCTCCGAAGGGGCCCTATCCCGTCGAGCCGATCCGATGTTTGTGCTGGCCGGTCCGGTCCGATTCGATCCCGAGGCTCCGGCGATCCGAGGCGGCCCCGTCGTGCTCGCATGGCGCCGTGTGCATTCTGGCGCAGCCGATGCGATTTGAATAGTCATGACTCCGTGCCGATGCAGCCCGATCCGACGAATTGCCCGGTTCGATGCGAGTTTCCGGTTCCCAGACACCCCGACGTCGTGATGTGTTCATAACGTCGGCCTCTGGAGGCCTCGACCCCTTCCCCGGGACCTGGCGTTTCCTCCTGAGCCCTTGCCTGATGCTCCCGAGGCCGGCCAGTGCCCCTGGAGGCCGAAACTACGGACCCCCCCGCCCTCCCGCGTTGTGTTTCTTTTCCCGTCTCGAGGGCGACTCTTCCCGGAGCAGGCCGCGCCGCCCGCCTTGGGCGTCGCGTAATGGGGGGGTCAAAAAAGCAGGGGTGGCGAGGGTGGTCCGAAAAGGTACCCAAACGGTACCTAAACGAGCCCCCTGGGGCTCTGGAGGGGCCCGAAAGGAGCACGAAAGGGGACCTTTTCTGATCCCCCCGTTTATGACCCCCCCATTAAGTCGCGCCCGACCGCCGCGAGGTGGGCTCCTGAGCCCTTGCCTGATGCTCCCGAGGCCAGCCGGTGCCCCTGGAGGCCGAATTTTCGGACCCCCCCGCCCCCCCCCGTTGTGTTTTTTTCCGGTCTCGAGGGGGAGGAGGAGGAGGAGGAGGAGGAGGAGGAGGAGGAGGAGGAGGAGGAGGAGGAGGAGGCGGTCCTGGGCTCGATGGCGACCCTTCCCGGAGCAGGCCGCGCCCGACCGCCGCGAGGTGGGCCCCGTGCCGGCGGTGCCCGCGCCCTCGCGCCCGGCGCCCGCCGCCGCCGAGCTCCTGGGGCTGCTGCTGCCCTCGCCCGCGCCGGGCAGCGCGGCGGGCCCACGCCTCGCCGCCGTCGGGGGCCACGTGCGCTGAAGTCGGGCCTGTCCCTCTACAGGGGGAAGATTACCTAGTCAACAGGGGGAGCATTTCGGGGGAGGACAGACCTCCTACCCTGACACGTCGATTAGCGAATTGGCCGTTTTCGGTTCGCGAGAGGGCGTCGCGGCCGTCGTTTTTGCGGGTCCTGGTCCGTCGGTTTCGGTCCCAGGCCGTTTTCACTAAGGGGAGGTTTACAAAAGGGAGGTTTGTCCACCGCCGAATATTCAAACATAGTCAACAAGTAGTCGGGGGCTTTGTGAGCCGGGGAAACGGCAGGGCCGTTGCTTTACCGTTTCCAAAAACATTTCCCTTGAAAATGGAAGCGGCCAGAAAACGGCGACCGGAAACGGCAAAAAAACGGCTCCAGGATTGGAACCGGAGCCGGAACCGGTCAAAAAACGGCGACGGAATTGGTACACAACGGCGTCGGAACCGGCAACAAAACGGCAAAACGGAACGGGCAACAAATTTTGCCCTGTCGTTTCCAGGGCCCATTAAGGTCGGGGGGGGCATTTGTTCTTTTTGGTAGGTTTGAACATGTTTGGGGGTATGTTTTGACAGCTTCTCATTTTTCGTCCGTAGGGAGGCATGCCTGTAGGGAGACATGCCTCTAGGGAGACATGCCCTACCTGTCCGTAGGGAGATTTGTCGTCCTCATGTTTTGACAGCTTCTCAGTTTTTCGTCCTTAGAAATCCGCCTGTCGGGGGACACGCCCGACCTGGGCGTAGGCCCGTGCGTTCGAGGAGGGGTCCGAACATGTCCGAACGGGGAGGCCGAAGGCCGACCGGCGGAGCGGGGGGGGGGGTGAGAGGTGCGCCTCTTGCGCACCTCAGGGGCCCGAGCGGGCGCCCAGGGGGCCCCCAACAGTGACAGGGGGTGGGGGGGACAGAACCCCTCCTCCTCCTCCTCCTCCTCCTCCTCCTCCTCCTCCTCCTCCTCCTCCTCTCCTCCTCCTCCTCCTCCTCCTCCTCCTCCTCCTCCTCCTCCTCCTCCTCTGCCTCCTCCTTTTCCCCCTCCTCACCCTCCTCCTCCTCCTCCTCCTCCTCCTCCTCGCCCGTGCTCGGGGCGGTTCCTTGACGTTTGACGAAGGGGCGCGTCGGGGGTGGACAGAACCCCCAACAGTGACACGTCGATCAGTGAATTGTCCGTTTTCGGTTCTCGAGAGGGCGCCGTGGCCGTTATTTTTCATGCTTGCGTCCGCCAGGTTTGGGCCTCAGGTCGTTTTCACTAAACCACGCTTTACTAAAGGGGAGTCTGTCCATCCCCGAGCGCGGGAGGTGCGCATGTCTTCGTCCCCCCTCCCCTTTGTATGCGGTCGGCCGAAGCGGGTACGGAAAGAACGGGTGCAAAGACCGACAGCAGTTCATCTTCATGTTGAGCACGGTTCGCGGTCGGTGCCTCCGCGGATGTTGTCCATTTGAGACAGACGGGACGGCTGCCCAACAGCGGCCGCTGCCGGTTTTGGACACCATTTGTTGTCGGGTATCGTGCCCATGGGGCAGGGCTCAGGGAGGGAGGCTCGGGGGCAACGTTGGGGGGGCGTTCGAGGTTTCGGACGTTTTCGCCTGGCGGCTGCGGCTCGCTGAGAGGCGTCCGTGGGTGCCTTGATCGTCTCGAAACGGCCCCCGGAGACCCGAGTCATGGCACGCAAACCAATGGTCCAAGGGCCAACGATATGGGGGATAGGCTCAGGGGGAAATGCATCGGCACCCAGTCGCCCATTCATCGCGGATAGGGGCCCGACAGCCCACTCCGCCCAGGATCGTGCGGACTCGCTATCGGGGACCTATCGCCGTTCCATCGGCGACGTGTCGCCGACTCCGGGTCGATGACCCCCCTGGATTCGGTCCCTCCCTGTCGTTGCCCCTCATGCCGTCGTTGTCGGCCGTCGTCGTTGCCGCTGCCGTCGCCAGCGTCGTTCTCGCCGCGGTCTCCGCCGCCGTCCGTGGCCGATGGCGCCTGCACGCAAGGGGAGCAGCAGTTTTGGCCATGACGAAAGCGTGCTCCTGTATGGCTCCTTGCTGATTCTGGGACCCCTATTGTGCCATCAGTCGCGTTCGCACTCTGCCTCTCTGCGTGCGCGAGTACGCTGTGCGCGCGCCGCGCGACAGCCATATGGGCCCATGCCTGACGAATGGGTCTAAGAGCCTCTGGAAAGTGTCGCATGCACAAGAGCTCCCGACACGCGTCGCATACACTGGACGGCGTCTTGAACTGTGCACTACACCCTAGGCGATGCTTAAGAAAACCTAAGTTTTTGGCCAGAGTCTCGATTATTCTTAACTTGTCAATGTAAATCCCAAGATTTTGATAGAAGTTCTGGGTTTTATTCAATTTCTGAGACTATGAATTTCTTAACCCATGATTTCTTAAGCATTTCGCAGGGTGTATGAAGAGAGCAGGTGAGCAGGGGGTGGTCGTGATAGTGGCCTGAGGAGCAGCAGGGAGCAGCGCCACCGAGAACCCACCAGGGGGGGGGGGGGACGCCCGAGCATCACCCCTTCCTCCTCCTCCTCCTCCTCCTCCTCCTCCTCCTCCTCCTCCTCCTCCTCCTCCTCCTCCTCCTCCTCCTCCTCCTCCTCCTCCTCCTCCTCCCTCCTCTCTCTCCTCCTCCTCCTCCTCCTCCTCCTCCTCCTCCTCCTCCTCCTCCTCCTCCTCCTCCTCCCCTGTAATCACAGGACTGCGCTTCAGCGTGCCACCGCCCAAGAGGTCGCCTCCCCCTCGGTGTGTTTTCGGGTTCGAGAAGGGGGAGGAGCAGGAAGTGGACGAGGAGGAAGGGGAGGGAGAGGTCAGGTTACGCGGCAGCAAGAGGAGGGAGAGCAGGATGAGGAGCAGGTGGAGGAGAAAAAAGAGTGTCTGTTTCTGTGTTTATCTGCTTCCTCCGCCATGGACACTCTGTGCAGCGCTCTTGAGCCAGCGAGGAGGAGCATGAGGAGGAGGAGTGGTAGGGGGGAAGAGGGAGGGAGGGAGGAGGAGGAGGACCAGTGTAAACCCAGACGCATCAAGGATGTTGCAATCAACATGTTCCCCAAGTTTCTTTCTAAGATGTCCCTGCAATAATTTGTTGTTTTTGAGGGCAGTGCCCCGTTGGAAGACAGACGCTTGATAATCAGCAAACATCCAAAAACACAGTTCCTGGGTCTTCAGCGCCGCGGCTCAACCTGACTGTTGCGTCCTACCATTCCGAGGTCGTGCCAGAACACCGTTCCCAGGACATTAACACCGCTAATCAACTTGTTTGCTACGTCTTGACAGTCCTAAATCGTACAATCGTCTAAAGACGGCACTAACGTGAGAGGCACATGTTAAAAATGAACCGTGTTCCACCTGGTTGTTGCAGAGTTCTGGGAGAAACGCGCGTGGCGCTAAGGCGAGAGCCACAATTTGAGAACGATCCGCCATCCATCCGTGAGCGGCGCTAAGGCGAGAACCACATTCTGATAAGCACCGCCCTCCTCCCGCGAAACTTTTGCAGATGTCAAGCTTCAGGGTCATACGTGATTAAAGTTTCGGGGGGCCCGCCTGGCCCGCCCGTAGGACAGAGAGGGGGCAGCCCTTTTTATCAGGACCAGGGAGGAGGAGGAGGAAGATGGGGAGGAGAAGGATGAAGTCCGTAACCATTTTGGTTCAAGGTTAAACGGGTGAAGCTAACGTGACATTGCGAATCTGGATCAGCTTTGGGATCTCCGTCAGTTGGTCCAGTTCGGGAACATGGCCCACTTCTTTTCGGCCGCGCCGGCAAGAAACCCACTGAGAAGGTGGTATCGCCGGAGAGTCGAAGAGGAACCCAATCCTTCCAGGACGGCGCGAGACTCAAGTCATACATCGTTGATATATATATATATATATATATATATATATATATATATATATATATATATATGTATGTATATGATGTTGGCTCAGGTCGAGGAGGTTACGCAGGGCGGCCAACGATTCGTTGGACTCGGTCAATCGCTCGATGGACGCGCATTCGAGGCAGATGTCGGACACATGTCGTGGACTCGGCCAACAGGCGGCACAGGAGTTGAGGGCCGTCAAGCACAGGAAAGCGCCGATCGAGTTGGAGGTGGCTGGTCACCGAGGACGACAGGAAATTGTCGACGGTGAGATCAAGAGGCTACGCACCGAGATAGAAGAGCAGCTTGGCATTGCACGTTCAGCTATTCCTACGCCGCTTCTCCGAACAGGCCCAGGAACCACCGCCTCGCGAGAAATCGACCCGTGTAGCGTCAGATGTCGGTGCGATAAGTTCATGCCACAGCGGAACGTGTACAACCTCATGCGCGCGCGGCTGGTGGACGCACGCGTACGTGATGGTGAATGGGAGCTGGCGGCTGACCTGACGTCTTGAGTCAAAGGCATACATCGTGCGGATCAAGGGGCAGGCCAGCTTAGCTTCGAGGATGCTGGCACGCGCGTTCACGCTTCTTCGCCCGCAGCAGAGGGATGGCCAGTGGCGGAAGTTCATGGGCGGAGCGGTCCACGGCACGGTGGCGAATATCAGTGCGGGCCCCGACAAGAACGCGGATACCGTCCAGAGAGATCTCGTGCCCAAGTGCGCGACGAAAGTGTTGTCAGAGACGGTCGTGGACAGGACGTTCTACATCGGCAAGCAGAGAGGGTCCGTGTCGACGAACTGGGAGCCGCTCGTCCAGATCGCACTGGCTCCCGACGCTGAAGTAGCTGACATCATGTTTGCGCAGGTCATCATCGTGTCGGAGGGCATCCAGCTCGCGCGGGTCGAAGGCCGCCTCCGCGATGCTCTGTGCGCGGGGGCGCGCGCGACCGAGTGGAGCATTTCGCAGGGCCCGAATTTGCTGGCCGGTGAGCATCTGGAAATCGCTCCGTTCCGCATCGGAAGTTGGAACGCAGCCGCTCTGCTCGCCGCGAGAGTAGAGCCAGGCGCGGCAAGTTCGCGCGCCTCAACTTTTTCCCCCTGGAACTTTCATTGCTGGCCAAGAGGTGCGCGGCGCTAATCGAGGGATTCCGGATTTCCTTCGCTCCATTAACCTTGCCTCGACGCGCGAAGGCTCGCGGACTGGCCCGCGGCTCTGGCCCCCCGCTGATCAAATGGATTGCAATCGTTTCAGGGCGAGTGGTACTTATTTGTTTTTAGCGTTGAATGGTTCGTCCTGGATTTCTCTTCCATCTCAATATTCATAAGCGTGATCCCTTTCGGCCCCTGGAGACTATCGCCCCATCGCATGTCCTTGTTCGGCTAGAACATGCTACGCATGGCCTGGTAGTTTAAATTCGGGCGCGCGGCTGCTCGGCCTCTCCTGCCTGGCGATTGCCCCGTGCCTCCTGCGCCGCCAGCCCCGCGAGTCCGGCGGGAAGCGATGAGGTCTCTCGCAGGGCTCGTCGCCGAGGACCCTTTCCACTGTCGCCCCAGCACTAAGCCTGTCTCGTTCACCGACCGCGCTCGCGTGGGCCATCCTAGGCGGACGGCGAATCAGCGCTCGAGTGGAGGGGCTGTCGCGGGGCGCCGGAGGTTCCCAGGGCGAAAAATGGTGCCGGACCACGCCGCGGCTGCGGTTGCGCTCAGAGCCCGCGGGGAGACCCAGCCTGAAGTCCGCCCGATACCCTGGGCATTTAGTTCATTGGTGAAGAATGCAAATGCCCCCCCGAACGAGGCCATTGAAGTGGGGCCCCCGCAGGAGGTGGCGGTTCCAGATCTGCGCCGACTTTGCGGAATCAGATGAAACAGAGCTGCCCAAAATGCCATGGCTACAATAACGGTCATAACGCCCGCCTCCTTGACGGCCCGATTCACGTCGTCCGCAGCGCGTGTCGGGCCGTGTCCAGTGGTGGCCAGACATTGGTTGCGAAGCCCCTGCAGTCCCGCTCGCACGCCCGCGATCGCATCTCGGTGGACACTGCGCGGCGAGAGGTGCGACTGGCGGATCCGGTTGTTTGTTATGCAAAAAACAGCGGCGTCGTCTCGCCGCCGCGGGGAAGCCGCGACGCAGGATAGACCCCGCCCCGCTAGGGCAGCTGGGCAATTCCAGGATGAGCGCTTGAAGCATCGAATTAGAGCACGAGCTAAACGTGCCTGGTCAAGCTGCGGCGCATGGCCCTTGGCCGCGACGCGCCCCCCTACGCGGCGCGGGAAACAAGTTCGTGGAGTGGGTGTCTGGCGCGCTAGCGTGGCGTACGCCTTGAGCGGCGAGCCGCTGCCCGGCGGTTCCAGTCGCGCCTTCGGCATCTTCGCGCCCGAACGGGGGCTGGCCCAGTGATTTTCAGGGAGCTGCGCGGGGCGCCTCTGAGACACGGCCCTCTGGCTTCAAAAACAGTTTCAACGAGACCTTTACGGGGGCCATCTTCATTTTTCGGGCGAGACGGCTTCCCGGGGGCCTCGACGAGTCCGACGCGTTTTCGTCCGAGGGCGGAATGCGGGGGGCATCGTCCTGAGGCTCGATTCGCGCGCTGGGGCGCTAGGTCTCTATGCCCCCCCAGAAGCAGGCGCTTCGACTTCAGGGGCGCGCTCCCGTCGATGTCGCAGGCGCGGCTCCTGCTGGTGGTCTAGTCTACGCTGATCCCTGAGCCTCTGGAGGCGTTCGCCCTCTTGCTTTATTCCGACGTCATATGCCTGGGGCCCTGGGCGGGGGCGCCTCGGAGTTATCGCGATCGCGAGCGGCATTTTCTGACGCCGTCCCAGATCGGGAGTGCTCTTCTCTGTGGGCCTGGGCCCCTTCTTGCGCGAAATGAAGACGGGCCACGGGCGCGGCCGCGCTTGCGCGGAGGGCGCTGGCGCGATTCCTGGAAACCTGCGCCGCCTCAGACAAGTCCAGTTGGAGGACATTGGCAACCTTGCTATGAAGACGATCGTGCGCGCGTTGGCATCCCTGGGCCGGCTGCAGCGCCGTTCTGCAGCGCCGATGCGTTCAATGGCTGGAAAGATCCATCGCCGTTTGGAAGGGCTTCAAGCGGTGCCCCAAAGTGGAGCGCCCAAGCATGCGGCCTGGCCTCGGAGCGCGCGGGGGCGAGTGGCTTGTGCCGCGGAGGAAGCTTTGCGAGCGCTATGAGAGAATTGCAGCGGCAGGCATGACGATGGAGATCGCCGTGCGCATATAACCGAATATGCGTCACAGTCCTGGGCTATGTTTCGCAACTTACGTTTCTCCCGGCATCCATGGTCAACGTTGCGTCCGCGCGTTTTTTTACAATAATGCAACGATGCCCCGCTCCCGCCCTGGGCGCGCCGACTGTCGATTGGCTTCGCATCTCCTCGCGGGAAAGGGGCGAGCTCACGCTGGCATTGAGGCGCTCAACCTGGCAAGCCGCATGCCCGCGGCGCCGCAGATTTTCGAAGCGCGGCGCCCAGCTCTCGAGGACATGAAGGGAGCTGCAATGGCCCGTCTCCCCATCCAGAGCTGTGTCCGTGGCCAGGTATCTCCCGACTCCTGGCGCTCTCGCCCCCTGGCGCTGGCCTCAGAGGAAGCGAGTCCGGGCTTCCCGGCGGGCCCCAGCTTCTTTGCTGCTGGTAGAGAGGCTCTCAGAATTATTTTGGGTTTTTGTCGCGACAGCCCTTCTTGGAAAAGCTTGTCATGTTCGAAGGACTCATTACAGAGAGTTGCGAGACCAGTTGTGCCCCGATCGCGCGCAGCGTATTTTCATTGAGAGGTTGAGAAAATCACTTCCCGATAGAGATGGAAGATTGACCTGGCAGATTGGCAAGCACATTGAGACGCCATCGCCTCCCCCCCGTGGCGAGAGCCTCTGTTGGGCGTGGACGGCGGAACACAATTCCCAAATCCTCTCCGATTGCGTTCTAGGCTGCAGCGGCTGCCTTGACAAGTCCCTTCAAAAGTGGAGTTTCTTTGTCTTCCTGCATCTAACTACCAACTCCATGGGAGGCCCCCCTCTTGTAGCCCTCCTTTTCTTTCAGGTTCGGAATGTGCCATGCCATCCTAGTCGGTATGCGTTCCAATATGTGATGCGCGCTTTGTTTGCATAGCTAACGAGGCTCGCGCCGTATTTCGCTAGTCGTCTTGTGCTGCTGCCGCGCCGGCGCCTTTATCGCCCGCCCAGAGAGTCTCCGTCATCTGCCCGGTCAGATTGCAGGTGGAATTGCCGAGTAGTTCGACCAGGTGAGGGCGCAGCGCGCCCTCGGCGATTCGCGAGGGGAAGGAGGAGGAAGAGGAGGAGGAGGAGGAGGAGGAGGAGAAAAACAGGAGGGAAATGAGGGGAGGATGAGGCAGGAGGCGGAGGAGGGAGGAAGAGCAGGAAGGAGGAGCAACGAGGAGGAATATGAGGAGGAGGAGGAGGAGGAGGAGGAGGAGGAGGAGGAGGAGGAGGATGCAGCAGCAGCAGCAGCAGCAGCAGCATGGAGCAGGACAAGGACCATGACAGGGAGCAGGAGGACCAGGAGCAGGACCAGGACCAGGAGCAGGAGGACCAGGAGGAGGAGGAGGAGGACCAGGACCAGGACCAGGACCAGGACCAGGAGCAGGAGGAAAAGCCGTCCGAGCGTGGGGCCGGCCGGCCGCCGGCGCAGGCGGCGCAGGCGCCCGAGGCCCTGGCCGTGGCCGTGCTGCAGGCCGGCCCCCCCCCCCCGAGCGCGGCCGCGGCGCGGCGCGGCGCGGCGTGGCGTGGCGCGCGGGGGCTTCCCGGTCGGTGGTGGGGCGGGGGGGGGGGGGAGGGAGGAGGAGGAGGAGGAGGAGGAGGAGGAGGAGGAGGAGGAGGAGGAGGAGGAGGAGGAGGAGGAGGAGGCGGAGGCGGAGGCGGAGGCGGAGGCGGAGGAGGAGGAGAGGAGGAGGAGGAGGCGGAGGAGGAGGAGGATGGAGGAGGAGGAGGAGGAGGAGGAGGGTTCCCGGTCGGTGGTGGGGCGGGGGGGGGGTCGGGAGCCTCGAGACGGGGGTCAATGCAGACGGGGGTCAGCCAGGGCGCTGGATCCTGCAGGATCCTGCGAAGACCCCCTCTGGCTGACCCGGGTTAGCGAGCCGCTCGTGGCCGCGAGGCGGCCGCGCCTAGTGGCTGACCCGGGTTTGCGAAGACCTGCGTTGCAGTTTTTTTGTTCCTGCTGACCCGGGTCTGGATTGACCCAAGATCCCCGAGGGGGGGGGCTTCCCGCCCGGTGGTCCCGTCGTCGACGGCAGTCGTTCGATGGTGCTCAGTGGGCCATCTGGCCCGAAGGGCCCTTGTGGTGGCGGAACGCGCCGCCTCCCTCCACTTTCCGCTCGGGGCTCGATCCAAGACACGGGGCTTGGGCCCCGCAGACGGGGTCCGAGTAGATTGGGTCGGAGGGTCGTGCCGCATCCCCGATGCGGCGCAATCCTCTGACCACATCTACCCCTACCCCCTGTGTGAGACCTCTGACGTCAGTAAGAAGAGGGCCAGTACGAGGACTACGAAGAGGCGCAGAGACGAAGAAGGATCGCGAAGAACGCTTCTGAGGCAGGTCTTTGGGGGAAGGCGGGGGGCAACGTTGGCCCCACGATCCCTGGAGAGGAGGGGGCAGTCGCCGTCGGCTCTTTGAAATTTTCTCGCCTCGGGGTGCTTGCCGTCAGGGGCCTGAGGAACCTGAGACTGAGGCTGCCAGCACCGCGCGTGATGCGCTTCATGGCGTCAGGGGCGGCCCAACCGACCCCTAGCAGACCATCCCCTGCCGTGACGTCCCCCTCGCCTCGCCACAAGACTCACGTATGCGGCCAGAGGGAAGCTTGAAAGGCGAGGATGACGTCACGGAAGGCAATGATTTGCTAAGGGTTGGTTAGGCCGCGGGCTCTCGGTTTTCTCCTCGATTCGGGAGCTCCTGGGGCCCGTCGCGGGTGATGGCCCCGCGGCCCAGGACCCGGTTCCAGCAGTCGACCCGCTTCCTGCATGCGAAGTCTTGCTGCGTCGTTCCGAACCGGGGTGCCCCGCGCCAAAACTCTGATCCCCACGGATTCCCCGGGCGCCGTTCTGCCCCCGCGCGCGTGGGAAAAGGCAGAGGCAGGGCGTGTCCGGGGGGCGTGGGGGAAGGAGGTTCTCTGAGCAGGCCCAGTGTGAGCACGGGAGGTCTCCAGGTATAGGGCGACGACATCTATACATATCCACTGCTCCCGGCCAGGCCAATCCTGGGCCCAAGAGCTGTGTATACGCCCTCCTGGCTTGGCCAGGGAGGCATATACACCGCTCCTGGGCCCAGGATGGGCCTGGCCAGGAGCAGTGGATATGCATAGATCTCGTCGCCCTAAGGTACAGGGCAGGATGACTGCTTCACATGTTCGGCTCCCACGTGCGCTTCCTCGGGGGGCGCAGCTAGTGGTGCGTCCTTCTGCGGCCCACTCGCGAACCCCGTCGTCGCCGCCGGCGAGCGTTGCCGAAGCAAGGACGGGCAAGAGCGTGTCCAGGGCAGCGATCGATCCACGGCAGCACGTAAATGACAACGGCACAGACAATTCGTGAAGAGTGTTGGCTGCCAGCTGCCAGGAGTACTGGGTGGTGGTAATCACGTGAGTGCACATGTCTAGCACGTTTGAGGCTACGGCCTCCAGACCATGCCCGAATGGACACGGGCGCGCACTCCGGCGCTCGTTCGTTCGTCGTCGCCGAACTCTCAGAGATTCATCCCGACGTGGCCATTTGGGCGCACCTGCGTCCGTCTTCTCCGTCGTCGAAGACGGGTGCGTCGACGACGACGACGACGACGACGGCGACGGCGACGTCAACGACGACCCCCTCACATTGGCCCTTGGAACTCCTCCTGCCTTCTGGCTAGGCTTCCGAGCGAGATCCAGCCGTGGCCGCGAGGACGCCACTGGAGTCTCAAAGAGGCCCAGGAACCTTTAAGACGGTACCAGAGCTTCGATCCCCGGCCATCGATCGACCGCGCTGCCGACCCGTAATCCGCTGAAGCTGTGTGCCTGGCTCCCTCCCGGGGCCCATCGCTGTCCGACGACGACGGACCTCGAAATCCGTTCGGAATCGGTCCCCCCGACCCCTCCCAGGGTGCGTTTCATCCTGACCAGTTTCTCGTCGCGGATCGATGCCTGTCGGCCCCGCGGCCGGACGCTGGCCTCCAGAGGGCGGAGATCGGGGGACAAAAAAAGCATATCTCGATCCGCGAACTTTGAGTTCTTGCTGCGGGTCGATCCGCTTGGTTTCGAATCCGTTCCTGGTTCCTCGAATCCTGGTTATTCCCCTCCCCTGTATCGATGTCCGACGGCCCCAGGCCCGAAGACGACGACCACGAGCACGGCGACGGCAAGAGTGACCACGACGAGTTCGCCGAAGAGCGACGACGGACGCGCCGGTCCTGCGGCGGCGGCGCAGGGCCGTTTCCTGTCCTGAATATGTCTCGGATCTTGTGAGCTGGAGCCTCCCCCATCGATCATCGATCGTTTCCGATCCTCGATTCCCCTCGATCCCTCCCCGATCCTCGATTCGTCCTCCTCGGCACTCCTCGGTCATCGATCCCTTCGGTAGCAAATCATAGGAGCCTTGTATCCCGCAGTGATTCTGTCTTCAGAATGCACTGGAGTCGATGAGCGTCTGGTTAAGCGTCGATGAGCTTCGATCCGCGCGAGCCAAAAAGATGGTTTGGGAGGCTTCCGTGAGTTCCCGCACAACATCCCTCTCCTCCTCGATCCTCGCGACCCTCCCCGACCCCTCGAGCTCCCTCCCCGCGCCCCCAGGACGCCCGGCGCGCGGCGCAGCCGCAGCCGACCCCGCGCCCGACGCGCCCCGAGCCACTAGAGGACGCGGCGGCCTTCCCCCCCGGCCGGCCTGGCACTGCCTGGCCCTCTTGACAGGCGGCGGGCGCCTACTGTCTGGGCCTCCCAGATGAGGTCGGAGCAGAAGGGGTCGGAGGATCGGGCTGCATCGCCGACACGTCGGCAAAGCGGTTCGCTGTGGAGCCCGATGCTCTCCACGGCATCGCCGATGCCCAGCACTTCCTGGTCCTCACTGCCTTGGCACGCAGGCGCCTATTTGTAAGGCTTCGGGCTGCTCACGGACAGCCCTCCCCAGGAAGTCTTGGGCAGCCTCAATAGGACCCCCGAATACTCCCAGCTGGCCTCAGCAGTCCCCCCGACCCCCCGACTAGTCCGGGGCGGTCGCAACACCTTGCCTGGGGCGCTCCGCGCCCCAGGGTGGAGATGTTGAGATGGGGCTAGTTACTCGGGGGGGCCTGATGGGGCCAGCTGGGACTACTCAGGGGGCCTGTTGAGGCCACCTGGGACTTTGGGGGGAGCTGTTTGCGCGCAACCCGAAGCCTTACCAACGCCCGTATATGCTCCATTTCGATCCGATCCGTACGATTCGATATCGAATCCGCCAGCTCGATCCGATTCGGTTCCGATATGCCGACGATCCGAGTTGTTTTCAAGCCCTTTCCGATGCGGCCCGATTAGATGCACATTCCGATCCAATCTGATATCCCGATTCGGTGCGGGCTGCTCCCAGAGGCAACGTCAGGGTGGCATGGGCTCAGCCGGAGGATTCATGCATCCCCCAATCGCCCATGCATCGCCGACAGGGACCCGAGCGCCTACCCCGCCGAGGACCGTGCGGCATCGCTGTCGGGGGCCTATCGCCGATCTATCGGCGATGCATCGCCGATGCAAGCTCGATGCTTCCCACCCCCTGCTGCGCTGCTGCTAACGGCTGGACAAGACGCTGTCTGTAGCCGTGCACACCTTACCTGCCCCCCCCCGCCCGGCAAGGACCTGGGCGGGAGGGGGGGCCCATCAGGGAAGGGGTGAGAACAGAAGGAAGAGGTAAGACAAAATTGTGGGGCTCGATGCTTCCCCCCTGCGCTGGTCCCCCCCCCCCGCGCGTGCCCCCTCGTCTGGTGGTTGCGGAGGATCAGCGGCCTGCGCCCCCCTCTCTCCGTCGGGGTGGCCGCCGCGGGGGCGAGGCGGCCACCCAGGCCTCCGACGACTGGATTTTTTTGTTGGAGCCCGCAGTCTTTTCCTCGACTTCTCCGCCCGTGGCTCTCGCTGTCGCCCATCTCGAGCTCGACGTTCCCCTCCCTGATGGTCCGCTACCGAAAATTTCCGGTAGCGCTCCGCAGAGATCGGTCGCTACCGAAACACCGAAATGTAGCGCCCAATACCGGTATCAGACCGTTCTGAAATCCGCTGTCTCAACGCCCTCAAACGAAGATCCGCTCGCTACCGAAATTCGGGGTGCGTCGGAATCGCTACCGAAAATTTCCGGTACCAGACCATCTGGGCTCGCATCGGGCCGGCCGGCCCCCCCCCCGAAGGTTGCCCCTGACACCCACGAGCGCGCGGCCTCTCGAGGAAGCGTGCGCGGCCAGCTCCCCGGAGCGCCCGAGGGCGCCCACGCGGCGGGTTCCCACGAGGTGGGCTCGGGTTTTTGATTGTGTTCGGCGGCCAGCCCGCGGAGGAGGCGAGGGGGGGAAGGCCTTCTCAGAAGGCCCTCGGCAGTCCCCCGGCCTTCGGAGAAGACTCCCAGGCCGTCCCCGAAACCACAGACAACTGCTCGGAAGGCCAGGGCGCTTCTGAGAAGCCCCGCCGCCTTCTGAGAAGGCCCTCTCCTTCTCACTTCCCCCCCTCGCTCGCCGCCGATGCGCAGAGGTCGGGGAACAGAGAACGGCACAAGCATCATTTCTCTGGGCTTTCCCGGCGGCGTCTCTGGCGCCGCCCCTGGGGCGCTCCGCGCGCACGGGAGGGGGGTCCAGGGCCGATCCAGGAAATCCACGCGGACCTACGAGACATCATGTTTATACCGTCTTCTGTTCCTCGAAATCAATCAAATTTTCTACATTGGATACTGAGGGACATGAGGCCAATCCGCTCACAACCTACGGCACGGTGGGAATTTGAGAAGGGGGAGAGGAAGGAGAACCCGTACCCCTCCCCCTCGCAATCAACTCCCACAACCCCCACATCGCTCCTCTCCACCCGAAAGCCCTCCTCTCATCTCTCTCCCCTCCATCCCACTCTCCCCATTCCTCGCCCCACCCCTCCCACATCCCGCTCCCACATCCGCATCTCTTTCGCACCTCTTTCCCCTCTCCCCCATATACCCCTCTCTCCCCCCATGCCTCTTTGGCCTGCAAGCGGCTTCGCGCCTTGCACGCCCCCGGCATTGATCCCCCATCATGGGATCGTTTTCGCGGACAGTCAAGTTCCAAGTTCTCGGTTCCCCATGCTTCTCTCTCTCTCTCAATCCCCAGTCCCTCTCCCTCTCTCCCGCGCTCGCTCCGTCTCCCCCTCTCCCTCCAGGGCACGCCCAGAGGCCCTGCATCTTCACCTCGCGCCCTCCCCGCGCGTTGCCGACTCACCCCGCCGGCCATTGTAAGTACCCCACGGAGGCCCGGGCAGGGCTCAGGCGGCGTCTGCCGCCTCCCCGCCCGCACCACGCCCCCCCCCGCGCGCGCGCCCTCTGGGTCGAGGACCGGGCGCTCCAGCCGCGGGCCGCCAGCCAGAAGGGCATCCCGGCCGCGCCGACGGCGGAGGATCGCCGTCGTCGGTTTCGTCGTCGTCGGCCTGTTGGTGTTGTCGTCGTCGTCGGCTTCGTCGTCGTCGTCGTCGGCGCTGTCGCCGTCGACTTCGTCAGCGTCGTCATCGGCTTCGTCGGCTTCGTCGACGTCGTCGCCGTCGGCTTCGTCATCGTCCTCGTCGTCGTCGTCGTTCTGGTCGTCCTCCTCCGCCTCTTGCCCTCCTGTGGAGGAGAAGGGGGGGGTGAAGAGTTCGAGGAGAAGCACGGGCGGAGGAAGAGGAAGAGGAGGAGGATGACGACGACGAGACACGACACACCTGTTGTCCACGAGGACGACGAGGTGGAGCAGAAACATAAGCAAAGAAGCAAGAGGACGAAGGGCAGGAGACGAGGAGGAACACGAGGGGGCGGATAAGGATGGAGGGGATGAAGGCGGGAGGGATAAGGAGGAGCAGCAGCAGAAAAAGGCGGAGGCGGCGAGAGACGGGGAATATGGAGGATGGTAATGGGGGGAGGACTGATGAACGACGGGCGAACAGCGTACAGTGGCAGAGTACGAGGAGGATTGTGATGATAAGGAGGTGGTTGAAGAGGGGAATGATGATGCTGATGATGCTGGTGCTGATGCTGATGCTGCTGCTGATGATTATGATGATGATGATGATGATGATGATGATGATGATGATGATGATCATGATCATGATCATGATCATGATCATGATCATGATGATGATGGTGATGATGATGGTGGTGTTGATGATAATGATGCTGCTGATGATGGGGAGGAGGAGGGGGAAGAGGATGAGGAGGAGGAGGAGGAGATGGAGGAGGAGGAGACGGAGGTGTCGGAAATACTGCCGGTGGAGGGGATGGATGGATGATGAGGAGGAGGTGGCGGAGGGATTAGGAGTCAGAAATCATGGATGGTGAGGGGTGTGAGATGCTGGAGACAGTCAGCTTGAGGCGGGAGGAGGTATGAGGGGGAGTGAAGTGTGAGGAGGACGGAAGAGAATGCTACGGAGGCGCGAGGAGAGAGTTGGGAAAGCGAGGATTGAGAAGCGGCAAGGAGGAGCGAGGAGGGATGCAGGATTTAGCAGGGAGTGAAGCAGGGCATAGGCGGGAGCGTGTGATGATGACGGTTGTGGCGGTGATCATGTTGATGTTGATGGTCATGTTGATGACGACGATGCCGACGGTGATCATGTTGTTGATGATGTTGATGATGATGTTGGTGGGGATGATGATGGTGATGATGTTGCTTATGCTGAGCATGATGAGGATGACGATGGCCGGTGATGATGATGATGCTGATCGATGATGATGATGACGATGATGCTGATCATGACGATGATCATGATCATGATCATGATGATGATCATGATGATGATGCTGGTGATGATGATGTTGATGATGATGGTGGTGATGATGATGATGTTGCCGATGATGATGATGATGAAGATGATGATGATGATGATGATGATGATGATGATGATGATGATGATGATGGTGATGTTTGTGATGGTGGTGATGATGATGATGATGATGATGATGATGAGGAGGATGAGGATGAGGATGAGGATGAGGATGAGGATGAGGATGAGGATGGGGAGGAGGAGGAAGAGGAGGAGCAGGAGGAGGAGGAGGAGGAGGAGGAGACGGAGGTTTCGGAAATACTGCCGGCGGAGGGGATGGATGGATGATGAGGAGGAGGTGGCGGAGGGATTAGGAGTCAGAAATCATGGATGGTGAGGGGTGTGAGATGCTGGAGACAGTCAGCTTGAGGCGGGAGGAGGTATGAGGGGGAGTGAAGTGGGAGGAGGACGGAAGATAATGCTATGGAGGCGCGAGGAGAGAGTTTGGAAAGCGAGGATTGTCAAGCGGCAAGGAGGAGCGAGGAGGGATGAAGGATTTGGCAGGGAGTGAAGCAGGGCATAGGCGGGAGCGTGTGATGATGACGGTTGTGGCGGTGATCATGTTGATGTTGATGGTCATGTTGATGACGACGATGCCGACGGTGATCATGTTGTTGATGATGTTGATGATGATGGTGATGATGCTGTTGATGTTGAACATTATTATGATGATGATGATGACGATGCCGATGATGATGATGATGATGATGATGATGATGATGATGATGATGATGATGATGATGATAATGCTTATTATTATGCTTATGATTATGCTTATGCTTTTGCTTATGCTTGTGATGATCACGGTGATGATGATGACGATGATGCTACTGATGATGATGATGTTGATGGTGATGGTGTTGATGATGATTATGATGATGATTATGCTGATGCTGATGATGCTGAGGATGCTGATGATGCTGATGCTGATGCTGTTGATGATGATGATGCTGATGATGGTGATTGTGATGGTGATGGTGATGATGATGCTGATGGCGACGACGACGATGATGATGCTGAATTTATGATGATAAGGGTGATGATGCTGATGATGATGACGATGATGCTGATGACGATGATGATTAGTATTGTGAAAATCTGGGATTGGGGAGGAGCAACATGAGGATGAGGTTGGCATCGTCCCACTCTGCAGGAGGACAGCGTCAGCACCACCGACGACAGCGAGGACCCGCTGGGGAGGGGGGCTCTTTCTTGGTCTCTCTTCCCGCTCGCGTGCCGCATGCAGGAAAGGCTTTCCCCCCCAATCTTCCTCCTTCGTCTTTCCCTCATCTCCTCCTTCCTCGCCCTCTTCCCATTCTGTCCGGCCAGTTCTTGCATGGTGGGGACCCCGTCCCATCAGCTGGGATGTTGACGGTTTTCATTTCCCAAGTTGAATTTCGTTGCTTGTCTTCGCCTTATGTCTACGCATGGAAAACGTCAAGGAAAAGGCCCTCCCCCCGCTCCTGCGCGCGCACGGCTCCCGATGTGCTCGGCGCTGCTCTACCGTTCCCTGCCACTTTCTAGGCATCCAGCGGACACCTCCAGGAGACCTCCTGGAGACCTAACCTGCTTCAACCGCCTTCAGGGGCATCTGGAGACGTTCGGAGCGCTCTTTCCCCTGCTCGCCTCCCGGGTCGGACAAGGGTCAGAGGGGGAGGGGATAGGACAAGGGCTGGGGGGCGAGGTCTCGCATCTGGGGGCCTGTGGAGACCTTCGGACGCCTCCTTCCCCCGCTTCCCTCCCCTCCCTCGCGTCGGGCGAAGAGTAGGAGGGAGAGGAAGGGAACGGGGGGGGGGGGCAGGCGAAATGTGCTGCGTGCGGCTGGTTTTGGCCCCGCCGCTAGGCGCTTCCCGCGATACAGTCGCGCCTATGGCGCCGGGAGGCACCGGGAAAAGCAGCTACGCCGAGCTGGTTCGCTGACGTCCGACGCCCCCCCTTCGCCGACAGCCCCGTTCTCCCGACCCGGCTCTCCCTCTCCCCTCCCCGCTGTGCTACCTCCTCGTCGTCCTCGATCTCTTTACTACCCCCCCTCTCTCCTCCCTCCTCGTGGGCCTCCTCGTCGTCCTCGATCCTGCATGCTCTCCTCCGGGGAGGAGGAGGAGGAGGAGGAGGAGGAGGAGGAGGAGGAGGATCCTGCACGCTCTCCTCCGGCCTCGCTGCCCTCGCTGTGGTCGAGGGGACGGCTCGACCACGGTGCCCCGGCAGCCCGCGGCAAGGCCTCGGCTTGCCGACGACAGGAGCAGCGCCTCCCCGACCCCGCGGCGATCGGCAGGGACGTTTTTTGGCCCCGGCGTCGCCTCGGCACGGCCCGGTCAGCTCGACGACGTTCGAGCCTCGAGGATCGCGGCTCCGACTTTTTCGAGGATCGAGCTTCGAGGATCCGAAGGTTCCGAAGGTTCCGAGGGTTCCGAAGGTTCCGAAGGTTCCGAAGGTTCCGAAGGTTCGAGGATCGAGCTTCGAGGATCGAGCACCAAGCTTCGAGGGTCGAGCTTCGAGGTTCGAGCTGCCAGGATCGAGGATCGAGGTTCGCCGACGGTGTGCTGATCGTCCTGAGGCGCCCGGAGGAGGAGGTGGAGGAGCAACGGGTGGGGGGGAGCGGAGGAGGAGGAGGAGGAGGAGGAGGAGGAAAAGGAGGAGGAGGAGGACGAGGAGGAGGAGGAGGAGGAGGAGGAGGAGGAGGAGGAGGAAGGAGGACGGCGACCGAGGACGGCGGCGACGACGACGACGACCTCGTGACGAGCACGACGCGGGCGACGGCGAGGGGCGAAGAGTGCGCCGACCGCGGGGACGCCAGGCCAGCGACGAGGACCCCCCGAGCGAGACCACGAGCCCGGTGTCGGTGGCCTCCGGGGTTCGCCCGCCCCGCGCTGGGAGGGGCGGGGCTCCTGTATCACCACCCACCAAAACACCCCAACCCAACCCGAAGGCTCAGATTTACCCTCGATTTCCAGTGGGGGGGGGTCGGGAAACATCGAAAAAACACATGTGGAACCCTTACCCCCGCCAACCCGAATTTCGGGTCTTCGGGTTGGGTTGGGGTGGTCTGGTAGGTAGTCACTGTATCACCCTGCTCCCAGACCCCCTCGAGTCATGAAGAAGTCACGCCTGGAGGTTTTCCATGATCTTCGGCCTCGAAGGGCCCTTACCGGGCGAGACCACGAGCCCGGTGTCGGTGGCCTCCGGGGTTCGCCTGCCCCGCGCTGGAGGGGGGGGCTCCTGGATCACCCTGCTCCCCCCTCGAGTCATGCAGAAATCACGCCTGGAGGTTTTTCCTGATTTTCGGCCTCTATAAAGGGCCCTCACCGGGCTTCGGGACCGTCAAAACCGTTGAGGATGGAAAGCCAGTCATGGGGAATGGATCGAGACATATTGTGGCCGATTATACGAAACAAACATGAAGTCGGGGGTCTGGGATCTAGACCTCCCACATGGGGTCCGAGTAGATGGCGTCGGAGGATCGCGCCTCATCGCCGATGCATCGGCGATACGGCTCGATGTGGAGCCCGTTTTTCTTCACGCATCGCCAGTGCATCACCGATGCATCGCCGATGCATCGCCGGGCATCGCCGATGGTGCCGATGCATCGCCGTTGCTCCTCGGGAACATTCAATCACATAAACATGAAAGTGTCGGAGGTCTGCGCGGATGTCTGGGATAGTGAACCCGCGCGAACCTCCGAAAGTTGATGTTTATGTCAGTGTTTGTTCCCCTAGCTCCCCTCCCCACGCCCAGCTCACGCAGTACGATGTTGCTGCATCGATGTTTCGGCAGCCCTTGCCTTGGGAGAGCGGATTCGGGGCCAAGCACGCCCCCATCCCACAGCTCCCTTCCGCTGCTCCGTTGATGGGAATGTCTGTTTCTTGCACGGGGACGCCCTCACTGAAGCTGAAGCTCACTGAGGGGCGCCCCATGCAGGCCTCACGCGATAAGCCGAGGCCCTGCATCAGAATACATACGAGGTGTTAGTCTATCGATAGGGAACTCGCCACCCAAACGTCTGTACATTTTTACATCTTTTCTCTTCCCTGCATGGGGCTGTGGCTATTGGTATTGGAGTCCCTGAGGACGCTGCCATTCCCCTCCCCCTGGGGCGGTCGCCCTTGCGGGGGGTGGGGGGCTGATCGGACTCATTCGCAGGCCGACAGATTTTCCTCTCGAGCCCCCCGGATCCCAGATGACGACGACGACCACGGGCCGACCGACCGATGGCGACGACCGACCGACCGATGACGACGACGACCCACCGAACGACGCGCCGACCGACCGACCAGCCAGCCGACCGACCAGCCAGCCCACCAACGACGACAACGATCGGGACTTCCCCACAAAGATATGTGTAGGTTTTCTTGAAAGGATCCACGAAGCCTCCACGTCATGAACGGGCTCCGGAAGATCGATACGTGGATTCACCATACTTTTGCATTCACACTACCGGGATTCACTGGGATCCATGGTTTTCATACTAGAGGGAATTCGTTCGGCCTGGGGATGAAAGAAATGGCGCCCCTTCTGTCCTTCACCGAGAATTCCTGCATGGGCGAGAAACTCCAGGGGCCAGCGCCTTTAGATGCCTGTTGTTTTGTTTGTGTGTGGGTGTGCAAGACACCGTATGAATTCCCACCGGTTTCCCGTGCGATCCAGCCGCCTCTGCTCGCGCGCGTTTCGGTTGGGCCGAAGCGGGGAATTGGCGAACACGCCGCGTCCAATGGCGGGCCGAGGCGAGGCGTTGTATTCATGCTCCTCTCCCTCCTCATCTAGCGTACACGCGGTTGAAGAGGAGGGCCCTCCTTTTCTTCCTCTTTCTTCTGATGTGGGGCTGTCGTCGCAGCCGCCGTCCACGCTGCAGTCGAACGTCAGTGTCGCCGTCTGTCTGTCGTCGTTCGTTGCCGATCGACGCCGATGATCGGTGATCGGGTTCGAGGGTGGCGGCAAAGTATAAAGCAACGAGTTTGCGAGCATAGGATCTTACACAGGCAGTATTGCCGATTGGATTTTATGAGGAAGGGGGCAAAAGGCAGCAGTAACCGGCAAAGCGGAGAAGAGGAGAGGGGCAGTAAAGGACGTGGAGGGCCAGGCAACGTATCGGCCACGCGGCCCGGACAATGGAGACGATGAGGGGAAAAGGAAAGGTTGTGGAGAGTTGCGCCGATACAGAGGAGGTGGAGTTGCAATCGTTTTGAAAACGTATCGAAAGTGGTTCCAAACGAGCAATTTCGATCGTTGTCCTGGGGGAGGTGGACACGTTGAAAATTTGCTCGTTGCCCACTGCAATTTACAGCTTATTCTTTCTGCAGTTCCTCCTGCCTTTCCAGTTTATCTGCTAGTGCTTGCGAGTAGGTGACTATACAAACACAGCGCTGCGAGACAGACCAGAAAACCATTTAACAACAAAACAGCTAATTCATAATCCTCGGAACTACAGACAACGGCTCCGCACATTGTCGTTGCAATTGGTGGGTCAAAATAGCGAATTGCGGCGGAGATTTGAAAACGAGAGAAAACATCGGCGGTGGTCCACTATGACAAAATGAGGTTTTAGGGTAAAGTTGCAATTTTTACAACGGCGTTGTTTGAGGTCCTCGCGGATATGTTGGATCGGCGCTGGACGCCCTGGGAGAGATTCCCAGCGCCGATCGAATGAATCCGCGCGGACCCCCGAAATTATGTTCATGCTGCTCTGTGCCTTCAGGACCGCCCCTCGGCGCCTGACAGAATCTTGCTGGCGCGCCCTTCTCGGACACCGTCCCGGGAATGTCGGATTCCGCCCGCCTCCTGCATGCGGAGCAGGGGCAGGAAGCCCCAAAAAGGGGTCCAAGAGGGATGGAATCCGCATCGACCTTCGGGTGGGTCACACCGCGACCACCCCCCTCTTGATCTGTGCCAAGTGAGGCGTTCCGAAACGGGGGCCTTGCCTTCGAGGGATCGAGGTTTCCCCCCGCCCCGAGGGCCAGCGTGGTCCAACGAGCACGCGGCGGACTGGTACTCCTGGGGCGACCAAGACGGGGGTGACGACGAGGGGCGTGTGGACGAAATGGCAAGGGCCACGACAGCCCCCCAATTTCGTGGCGCCTCCTCCCACTCTGACACGACCCCTCGAGTCTCAGGAGGGGAAAAAACACACAGACACAATTAATCGTCGATTCCCAGGAAAATATAGGAAAATATGGGGAGTGGGGGGGAAGACAAAATCCCAGAAAATATAGGAAAATATGGAGAATATTTTTATGTGTGTGTATTTATTTGTGTGTCCTGGGGCCCCTTCAGAGTCCCCACTTTCGCCCGCTCGCATGCTTCGGGCCACGAGGCGCACCCCCCCGAGTATTGCGGTGTCCTGCAGACGGTCCGCGGACGCCCCCGTCTTGGACGCCCCCCGTCTTGGGCGCCCCCCGTCCTGGACGCCCCCCGAGGTGCCTGCGGTGCCCTGCGGACGCTCCCGCGGGGAGAGCCCGGAGGGCTCTCTGCGCCCCCAGGGCCGGGCCTCTCGGGTCCCCTTCACGTCGGGCCCGTCCCTCTGCCGGGGGAGTATTCAAAAATGGCCAAGCAAATACTCGGAGAACTATTTTTAAGGCATTTGTTTTGACACATGTTGGAGAATGTGTGGGACATTGCTATTTCTCGTCGAAAATTCTTTCACCATTTTTGAGCATTTGTGGAACATTTTCATGTTTCGTCGAAGATCCGCCTGTAGGAGGACAGGCCCGACCGAAGGGTCCCTCCTGCTACGCCTGCAAAAGGGCTGATTCAAAAATCACAGGTCAGGTGAAGTCGAGCGAGCCTTTTACCGTACGGTGCGTGAACAGGGTGAACACAAGACAACATGCAAGCGAGGCAGTCCGAGAGCCTTCAGCGCGCGGTCCACGCTCTCCCCCCGCGCGTTCCCACGCTCGCGCTGCACCGCCCCCTGGGCGGAAGTAAGCAGCGAGTCGCTCCCGGGAGCCTGCGAGCTCGAGACAATCTTATTCCCTTTTTTGAGGCTCCATGTCTGCTCAGTCTTCGCTGTTAGGTAAACAGCAAAAAAATATTCGGATTATTCTCTGATCATTTTTAATTATTTTCTAGCACTTGCTGAATATGTTATGTTTCGTCGAAAATCCGCCTGTGGGAGGACAGGCCCGACCGAAGGGTCCCTCCTGCTACGCCTTCTGCCTCACCAGACTCCCGGCGCCCCGAAGCACTGCGACCGCACCCCTCGGGCCCCCGTCGTTCCTGCGGCACCTCTCCTGGGCGAGGTCGGTCCGGTGCGGGCCTTTGGGGCCTCCCAGACTTGGGGCGAGAACGCCCGTCGGCCTCGGATGGCCACGCTGACCCGGGAGGTCTCTTCAGAGGCGTCAGGGCGGGCAATGTTTTTACCCACATCCAGTGCGTCCTGGAGTTTCGGACTCTCCTCCCAAGAAACATGAGGCGCACTGGATATGGATTACAATCTGCCTCCAAAAGGCTCAATGTTTATCCATATGGTGCGCCTCGGCCTTGCGGCGCCCCTTCCAAGAAAGTCCAAGACGCACTGGATATGGACACAAATATTGCCCGCAGTCAGGGCGCGAGGCCTGGCTCCTGGAGGGCTCCGGAGACCTCCAGGCCCCCCCCCCCCCCCCCCCGAAGTGAGAGATCCTCGGAGAGCCTTCCGAAGATTTGCGGACCCCGACGCAGGCACTGCTCGGGGGGCCTTGCTCGTGTGGCTGATGGGGTGGCTCGTGCGCTTTCAGAACCGCTTGTGAGGATGTCTCGGGCGAGGTGCGGGCTTTTCAGTATTTGCAACGGGGGAGCCGCCAGTGTGGGGACAGTCGGGATTCGCACCCAGGCTGTGGGGATGTCTCAGGCGGTCTGCCGGCTTGGTGGATTGGGCTTGCGTGCGTGCGAGGCGCTGGAGGAGGAGGAGGAGGAGGA